TAGTCATCCTTTTACTCAGACTTACTTAACAAACAGCAGTCAGTACTAGTGAAACAGGTGATGTGCAGTCTGTGGCCTTAAATTCAGAACTCACAGATGGCAAACAATTGTAAACAAACCGTTGCAAAACACCATGATGTTTGAAAATAGGAATGTGTACAAACTGTTAGTAAACTCTTGCTGGAGGTGGGAAGGTGGAGATGAACTGTTTTTTCAACAGTCAGGCAGGCTTCCAAGGGGGCAACTAACACGTGAGTGAATTTTGAAAGATAAGCTGAAGGTCATCATCCTGGTGGGCAAGGAGTGGGCAGAGCAAAAGCAGACCCAAAGGTAAAGGTGGATGTGAGGGGCTTTACGGAGCTGGAGTCTAGGATATGAGCAGAAAAGTGGCCAGACCAGAGCCAAGGAGGCGGCAGGGACCAAATCACTAAGAGCCTTGAATGCTGTGCTCAGAGCAGTGGGGAGCCAGGGGTCAGTTTCAATCACAGGAGGAGCGTGCGTACTGCAGAGCAGTCCTGTACTCTAGAAAGGCTCTGATGAATCTATTCTAGAGGATAAATGACTCATGAGCTCTTTAAGGAAATAAAGCTTAGATCCGTCTGTAGGTGTGGATCAGGAGGGAGGGAGGGGCGTTTGCTGAGGGAACTTGCCGGACATCACTGTAGGTGTGACTGGCCTTTGTTTTAGGGACTCATTAGCTTAATTTTTGGAGTAGAAAGAAGGTGATTGTGTCTGACAGCTGAGAGCCTGCTTTTGTTTTCAGAATTCTTCAGCTACTGCCCCTGGTATCTGGCTGGGACTGTTCTGGGGGAAACAGCACCCTCTAGAGGAGACAGTTATGTATGTTTCATGTGGGGCAGCAACGAATCATTTCCAGAACTCCATGCTGCCCCCTTCTCAGGGGCCCAGCCAGTCCTGGGGGTGGAGTGTCGCAGATTTGTTTATACGCTTCTGACTCTCACTACTGTGGAGAACAAAGCTGCCTGGCTGTGGGAGGTAGCGCAATAGCTGGGAGCAGCAAGTAACAGCTGGAGGAGACAGATACAAAGGCTGGCAACAGCAGGCCCACAGTTGGAGGCGGCAGTCACAACTAGCCAGTAGCCAAAACCTCCACTACCCAAGAATCTGTAGTCTTAGCACTGGCCTCTGGAAGCTCTGGGCCCCGTTTTCTCTGTCTCAGCTGTGCTCCTCCATACAGGAGACTACAGAGGCACTCACTGAGAACATGAGATGGTGAGAATGAACTTGGGACATATGGAAGCAGTTGCTGTAACTTAAAAGTTCTGGAGCCAGAAGACTTGGGTTCTGGCTCCAAATCCACTTGGAGCAAATGTCTCTGAACCTTAGTTTCTAATGATGCGTCTCCTACTTACCTCATGGTGTGGGGGTCAAATTACACGTCTCATAAACCGTAAAATGATATATGAAGTGAAGTGAAGTGAAACTTGCTCAGTCGTGTCTGACTCTTTGCAACCTCATGGCTCCAGGCCAGAATACTGGAGTGGGTAGCCTTTCCCTTCTCCAGGGGATCTTCCCAACCCAGGGATCGAACCCAGGCCTCCTGCACTGCAGGCGGATTCTTTACCAACTAAGCCACAAGGGAAGCCCCCAAATGATATATAATCATAGACTATTACGTTGGGAATAATAAGCAAGACTTTCCTTGAGCCCCAAGAGCTTCCATTTCCCCAGATTATACAGGGTCTCTCCTCAGCACAAGCAAAGGGCTTCTGTGCAGGATCCCTGGATGTCATGGCATAAAGTGAGGGATACAGACAGGGAGGAGGCAGGCGTCTTGATCTTTTATGAATGTAGTCAGAAACTTAAAGGCACTCTTTAAACCTCCCATCCAAAGCTCTAATCTCCTCTATGGAATCTCTGTAAGAAGAAAATCTCTGTTCGCATCCTACCTGGTGTCAAACACTTCCAGGGACAGGGTACTCTCTACCTTTTGAGATGCTCTTTCTACATTTATTACAATGTTCTTCATATCAATCTGGAATCTTTTTCTTGGCAGTTTATCTTTTTTTGATGGTTTAAACTCAGTGGTCCCGGTTGTTCCCCTTGGAGCTCAAATTCAAACTTACGTTCACATGGCAGCGCATTCAAACCAAATATTCTCACATAGCCTTCATATCCCTCAGGTTGCCTCTTCTCCCAAGTAAACGTCTCCATTACCTTCAACCACTTCTCACGTGATTTGGTTCTGAAGACCCTCATGTCCTGATTGTTCCTTGAGACTCAATACTGCAGATGTGAGATGAACAGAGCAGACTCAACTGAATCCTTATTCTAGATACTTTAGTTCAACTCAAGTAACTCACAACTTAACAACTTAACTTTGGCAACCAAAACACATAAGTAACTCACATTGGATTACTTTCTGCTAAAATGCTTACATTTGCTTTTATGGTTCTGCTTATGAAATCACATCTTTCCAATTGCAGAACTTGCTCAGATAATTTTTGGACCCAAATATGTGATTCGATGTTTATTCTTTTTGTTATATTCGGCCCACTCCTCTGGGCTTCTTTTCGATCTGTCCCAGCTATGTGTCATCTGCATGATCAATGGCCACGCGTTCTAAATTTTTGAACAAAATTAGTGTTAAGAACATTGACTAAGGGCAAGACCAAAGATAAAGCTCTCTGGTACATCATTAGAAAGCTTATTTCAGGCTCTCATGATCCACTCACCAGTAACACTGATTTTTTATTTTTAAGTCACCCAATTAGAGAAGCATTTTGTTCATTTGTCTCTATCCCCAAGGACATAACGAGAGATCTTGTAAAAAAAAAAAAATCTTGCTTAGAAGCACTTTCTCTATTGCATTTCTCTGATGTGCCAAATTAGTAACCTTGTCAAAGAAGAAAATTAGGTTAGTGTCATTTGTCTTGTTCTTAGTAACCCCATGGTGGGTCCTACTGATAAGTGCCTTTCCCCAAGCCTGCCCAAGTATTCACTATCTTAATGTTCCATTCGAGTCTTGTCTATGGTCTACCTCTTTGTAGTTTGTGAAATGCACTTAAATTTTATTTTTGAAAATTAAAGTCATGCTCACTCATCCACAGCTTTCTAGCACTCCTTCTGTTCTCTAGAACCTGTATTAGATTCCCCTGTTCTTCAAAATCTTCTATAGAAGTTTCATTTCTTTCAAGAGTTTGAGGGTCAAGTGAGAAGCATGCTAACATGTAAACTGTGAATGGTACACAGATGCAAGTTTTGTGGTGACTGTTTCTTTTATTAATATTACTACTACTGAGTACTGAATGGGGCTTTACTTGGGCCCTAAATAAGAATTTTTCAAACTTCAGAATTACAGGGTCTCCTTCTCCAAAATAGACATGTCTTGCTGAGGAGTTTCATGTGGATGAGTTCCAAGTGGGCAGTGTAAAATGCACTGCTGGTTGTCTCTGAATATTCTTGGATTCTTGTCTGTTGGTGCTCTCTAACTTTGTCTACTCGGGTGAAGCTCCAATACTTTGGCCACCTGATGCAAAGAACTGACTCGTTGGAAAACTCTGATGCTGGGAAAGACTGAAAAGTAGGAAGACAAGGGGACAACAGAGGATGAAGTGGCTGGATGGCATCACTGCCTCAAACCGAGTTTGAGCAATCTCCGGGAGCTGGCAATGGACAGGGAAGCCTGATGTGCTGTAGTCCGTGGGGTCGCAGAGCCAGACACAATGAACAACTGAACTGACTGGGTGAATATATGAATGGGCCTAGATAATTTAGAGTTTTCCAGCAATAAGGCGATGGAAATACAGGCCAAGGGGCAGTGTGCAGAAGGCTAAAATGTAATGGGACAGACTTCTGAGAATGGAGAATGTGATGAGCCTCTCTGTGTTCTCCAAGAAGAAACAAACTCCCCACAGATCAGCTGCTCCTTCCCAGAAGGTCTGGCTGGCAGATCTCAAGTCCAAGGACTCAATTTATTATAATTCTTTCTCTGCTGGAAAAGTACAAGTTATTCCTTGGGCAGAGGTGCCAAGCACCTTGTGTTAAATGAGTTGTCTCCTATTTCAGAGTCTTGTCCCACTTTTTACTATCAGGACAAACAGCATTCCTGAATCTGAACTTGAGCACACATAGTTACAAGCTAATATACACTCCCAACTCTCCTACTTCACTCAGTCAAGACAATTTTGCCACCTACAATCTGGCATCTCTCCCAGTCCTTGGGAAAATGGCCCAGTGCTGCCAGGAGGCTTCAGTTTGATGTTTTTCCTACCCCATCGCTTGTTTACTTTTGCTCAGTTCTGTCTATGCTCTTTCTGACACCACTCCAGACCCAAACCTAGATAATGCAAAAATATGATGATAATAATAACGACAATAATAAAAAATAGTGAAATGGGGTGGGTGCTTAGAGAACATCTTCAGGGGTGGAAGAACTGGTAGTTTCTGCTGTCTTCTCAGCTAGAAGAGTATTTTAGTATCATCAGTGCACTGACGTGGAGGATGGGGAGAGAATGGAGAAATTAAGGGCATGTGTGTGTTCAGGGGGACTGACCTGGAAGGATAACAATAGGATAGTCTTTCTTGCTAGTGTCATTCGAGATGGTAGAGAGGAATCCTATTTCAGAATTAGGGATCCTCACAGAACCAGTTTTGTGGTGAAAGGAGACCAGTAGAGCCCTCTTTAGTCCCACTCCCACCTTCAAGGAACTGGGAACTTATATCTTTTTCTTCTCTGCCTCTCCTAAGAATTAAAAATATCAGACTATATTGCAATTGTTTGCTTTGCTGAACAAGTATCTTTCTTACTAGGCTGTGAATTCTTGGAGAGCAAGGTTGCTGTCAGATTCATTTTTTACTTTCCAGCACCTTGCACTACAGGGTCTGGCATGTTGCAAGTGCTCAGTAAACATTTGCTAATAGGAGAACAGATCAGTGGCGCTGAAATGAATACTTCTTCCTTCCCATTGGGAAGGGGGTGGCTGGGAGTCGGCTGGACTTCTGCCGTAACTCTCATTATGCTGCCTTGCTCTCTGCAGATGGCTTCGGTTGCCAAGGTGTATTACAGCCAGACCACTCAGACAGAAAGCCGGCCCCTGATGGGCCCAGGGATCCGGAGGAGGAGAGTCCTCACAAAAGATGGTCGCAGCAACGTGAGGATGGAGCACATCGCGGACAAGCGCTTCCTCTACCTCAAGGACCTGTGGACCACCTTCATTGACATGCAGTGGCGCTACAAGCTTCTGCTCTTCTCTGCTACCTTCGCAGGCACCTGGTTCCTCTTTGGTGTGGTGTGGTATCTGGTAGCCGTGGCCCATGGGGACCTGCTGGAGCTGGGCCCCCCGGCCAACCACACCCCCTGCGTGGTACAGGTGCACACGCTCACCGGGGCCTTCCTCTTCTCCCTCGAGTCCCAGACCACCATTGGCTATGGCTTCCGCTACATCAGTGAGGAGTGCCCACTGGCCATTGTGCTTCTTATTGCCCAGCTGGTGCTCACCACCATCCTGGAAATCTTCATCACAGGTACCTTCCTGGCAAAGATTGCCCGGCCCAAGAAGCGGGCGGAGACCATCCGTTTCAGCCAGCACGCAGTCGTAGCCGCCCACAATGGGAAGCCCTGCCTTATGATCCGAGTGGCCAACATGCGTAAGAGCCTCCTCATTGGCTGCCAGGTGACAGGCAAACTACTTCAGACCCACCAGACCAAGGAGGGTGAGAACATCCGCCTCAACCAGGTCAATGTGACTTTCCAAGTGGACACAGCCTCTGACAGCCCCTTCCTCATCCTCCCCCTTACTTTCTACCACGTGGTGGATGAGACCAGTCCCTTGAAAGACCTGCCCCTCCGCAGTGGTGAGGGCGACTTCGAGCTGGTGCTGATCCTGAGCGGGACAGTGGAGTCCACCAGTGCCACGTGCCAGGTGCGCACCTCCTACCTGCCGGAGGAGATCCTCTGGGGCTATGAGTTCACACCCGCCATCTCGCTGTCAGCCAGCGGCAAATACATAGCAGACTTCAGCCTTTTTGACCAAGTGGTGAAAGTAGCCTCTCCAAGCGGCCTCCGTGACAGCACTGTACGCTATGGAGACCCCGAAAAGCTCAAGTTGGAGGAGTCGTTAAGGGAGCAGGCTGAGAAGGAGGGCAGTGCCATCAGCGTGCGCATCAGCAATGTCTGATGGCTTGGAGTCCCACCTCCCCATCCCTCTGGTTTCTCTTCTTCTTGTGGCTCCTGGGTGAGGGATGTTTGTTACCCAGGCTTACTGGGGAGCCCCAGAAGCATCCTTCTCTACTTCCTCTTCTTTATCCCAGAGGCCACCTGGAGTCCACGTTTTTCCTCCCTTCACCTCACCCCATTTTGGCCCCAAGATGCACAACTCCCTTAAGCCAGGATGGGGGAAGGAGAGGGAAGATTAGGCTGAAGTGGCTTAGAAGGCCTCAGCCATGCTTGGAGACTCACATTAGGAGGGCCGTGCAGCTGAGTGAATTGACTCCCCCCCACCTCCCACTACCACCAATGCCTGGTACTTTGAGGCTGGAGCCCCTCCCTCTCTATCTTCCCACTTACCGTGTTATCTAAGGCAAGACTCTCTCTCTGATGGGGTATGTGCCCTCAGAAATATAGGTCCCCAGAAAAATTTTTCTCTACCAAAACCTGTGGAGAGAAGCCAGGGTTTTTCATGGTGTAGTTTACTTTCTGTTGGCAACTCCCGACTCTAACCTAGGACCTTGGTCCCCACGGTTCTCCTCTTTCTAGTTTCTAAACTGGACCCTCTCTTTGGATACCCAGTTCCTACACAGATGCCCTCTACTCCCAGGGACTATAAAGCATAAAGACACAACCACCACACCTGAACCCAACCCGAGTAATGAATTCTTCACTGTGGGGTGATTAACGCAGAGCTACTGTTTAAAACCTGGAACCTATCCTCCAGGCAGACCTGTTTCCCATAAAGTGATGACCTGCCCCAATCCATTCCCCTGGAAAAAGTCCAATGCCCAGGCCCCATAGAAAGGTCTGGAAATAATGTTCCTGATTACACTGTCCCTGGCGCCCCTGATTCTTTCCTGCCCAGCCCACTCTCCCCTTAACCCCAGCTCTGAAGGAAGGGAGGGAAAATGCAAGGGCATTCCTCTTTTAACACTGATGCTTGACTAAAACTAGACTCACAGGGCACAGAGTTGCAGGAAAGTTAAACCAACCCACCAAATGGGAGGAAACATTCTCAGATTTTCAGACTGCTGTATACAGCTTCTGGGAACCGGCGTGGCTTTATTAAGGTCTGAGCAGAGGCAGAACTCTGGTTGGCAGACACTGTTCACCGTTACCCCTCCCAGTGCCCTTCTGAAAAGTGCCAGCTATTCTGTTAGGCCGTGCTGGGAGGAGAGGAAATTACACCTCCTGATCAAATAACTATGGTCTCCCTCAGCCATTCCCGAGACAGTATAAAATGAGTATCAGTCTCCTCTCTTCTCTCTTCTGCCATGACGCCAGTTTCAGGCAAGTTAAAAGGCATATTTTACGAGATCAGACTCAGGCCATTCCTGGTTCCCTGATGGGGACTGTGGTATGAGGTCAGGAAGGGTGTATGGGTGCCAGAACTTCCTCTAAAGCTCCAAATCCCAGGAGTGCCCCCTGTTCTCATTTAGGTACCAAGGAATACTCTCCCCCACCCCAGATGGGTTTGCATAGAGTCAATGTATGAATCAAGCGGCAATTTATTTAAGGTAGGCCAGCCAATTGTTACGGGTTTCCCTGATGGCCTAGATGATAAAGAATCTGCCTGCAATATGGGAGACCCAGGTGTGATCCCTGGATCAGGAAGATCTCGAGAAGGAACTGGTAGCCCACTCCAGGATTCCTGCCTGGAGAATCCTATGGGCAGAGGAGCCTGGCAGGCTACAGCAACACACACACACACAATTGTTACACACTACACACTTATACAGAATGTGCGTCTGCATCTGTGTACAGAGCCTTACAGAGAAACCCACAAAATCTGGAGAGTGGACCCATGGTTGTCATTTACTACAATTGCCCGAGATCCTCTTATATTGATCTCTCCTTGAATTCAACTAACCCTTCATTCTCCACTTACTGTAAACTCCCCCCATTACTCCCTAGCTCTCAAGCAAACAAGAACCAGAACAACTTGAAAATCTGAGACAGAAAATAGAAGGCAAACAGTCACCTTCTGGGCTCTACACTTTATTCCATGTTTGACTCACCTGATTTCTTTCAACGTATAAGGGCAAAGAGCACTGCATTGTGTGTGTGTATCTTCTTATCTATTTGCAAATTATCCCCCATCTAGTTTCTTCTGCACAGTTGCTTCCCTCCTGAGAGAAATGCTGTCTCCCCATTCCCTCACTGTCTATTCCAAGCCTCCAGACTCCTCAGATTCTTGGATAACAAAATGGAACACTTTCTGAGTTATTTCTTTTTGATTCTCCTGCACAACCCCTGACTTTGCTCTAAATTGCACTTTAAACCATCCTTTTGATACAACCTGGCTTATAAGCCCCATCAGAGAACAACACTCCCTTGCCCTCAACCCTAGGTGGTTTTCTAGACTCAGCCCTCTGAGCTGAAATCATCTTTCAGGCTATCAGGCAAGCTTTAGAAGCAGCCAGGTCTGGTGAGCAATGGGATCCCTGACCACACCAGCCATGGACTTAGACTGCCAGGAGAGCACTGGGCACAGATCTTAAGGGAGGAGATTTCAGAGGATGGGTAACATGACTCATGTGGGAGGATACTCAGGATGAAAGATGAGAAAGGGTGGTACTGGGGGGACCTAGTGAAATCGATGAAACCCTTGAGTCTTACTTGGGCTAGCAGACAAGAAGTAGGTGGAGGCTCGGGGAATTAAGCTATGATAAATAAATGAAAGATTTATCTAAGAAAGAGAAACAGAGATAATATATACATACACACACACACACAGATGTATATAGATGTATATAGGAGCAAATATACAGAATGTACAGGAAGTATTCAGAGAGCTCAGCATGGGGGCAGACATCTTACTCTGGTTTTGGGGGGGGGGGTTAGGACTCCCCAGGTTCCCAGAACTTACAGCCAGTGATCCTGATTTCAACAGGCAAAGCCTGACAAAGGCTTTCAGGTTTGATGATGGGAAAGGGAGGGGTGGAAGTTGCTAAAGAGGTATCCACTGAGGCTCCCGGTAAACCCTGTGCTGCTGAGAGGACCAGGAGGAGGGGAGACACTCCATCCATGGAAATCTGGGACGGTCTGCCACGCAGCCTGTGTGCTTGCATGCCTGGTGTCCTGTCCCTGCGGCACTTAAAAATCCTGTTCCCCTCTCCATTTCCCTGCTGTCATGGGGTGGGGCAACTGCAGCGCCAGCCCCAGGAGGTGATGGCTATTAACTGAGAAGCTGAGCACTTTGGTGTGTCAGAGGCGCTAAAGGGAAGCCTCAAGCCTGGAACCTAAATGCCAGGACTAAAGAGCTGCTGGACCCAAGATATGCTCAAGGCAGAGGCCCAGCTTTCTGTGTGGCGGCAAGCAGCCCAAAGAGAATGCCTTCTGTGCTGGAAGAGTCCCAATTCCAGCATCTGTGCATGGGGCAGGGCATGGTGCTTTAGCTTTGATGGGAGAGGCTTCTGAAATCCCTACTCTGTGCTTCACCTCATTACCTGCCTAACCCCTTAACCCAACCTCAGCTAGTAAGACCATCAGGGATTTCTCTCTGAGACCTGAGAAGAGAAAAGAAGCCAGTTATACTACTGCTACAAGTTAAGGACACTGCCCCCTCCCAAGGCTGCTACCCTGGTCCTTTACCCTTGCTAGTTAACCTAGCTTATTTGTAACATAACATAACACACTACCTTTGCTGTAAAGTTGAGTCTGGGCTTCAGGCTCAGTCATGGCCGACTCTATTGAAATCAGAAACATCTAGGGATGGCTTTTCCATTCTTTGCATTGAAGACTAAACCAGGTCAAATGTACCTAGGAAAAATATGTGGGTTTTTTTTTTGGTTTATTTTATTTTTTGTCTGTTCAGAACAAGTTACTATTACTAAATAAAATGGCTGAATCTCTGTTCTTCGCTCCAGCTTCTTTTAGAAATCAAAACCAATCCTGTTTATTAAGGCCTGAACCCACCAGCCTTCCTTTGGGAAAGAAGGGTGGAACTGGGCTGTGCTGGAAGAGCCGCTGACAGCACGGTCAGGTCTTTCTCCTTTAGTGTTACCATCAGTCCCCCAACTCCTTTCCCACACCTCCCCTCATTAACTTTAGGATCCTCTAGCAGATACCTTTTACAACCAGTTTTAAAAGGATTACAAAAAAGTTAAGACCAAGAAATCTGAAAACTGTCTCAGCTTAATCCAGGAAAGTCAAGCTGCTTTGGAAGCCAGGCATTGTCCCTTTTAGCCAGTGATCATGAACCCAACTTCCCTGCCACGCTACCATGGAGTAGTTCCTTACACATCCTCAAGACTCTATATGCCTATTCATTTAATCCTTAGGTATTTCTTGCCCCAGTTCTCAAAGAAATGCGTTTCTCTTCTATGCTTATCTATCAATAGCCTGAAAAAGGCTTGGCTGTTACTATCCAGTCCTGAATTGAAAAAACAGACCCCCACAGTTACTGACTCTTGTTCCCCAGAAAAGGAAGGACAGAGGGAGAAGACTGGGTCTCTTACCATCATCACTAAATACTTATCTACAACATTTAGGAAACACTAGGTTTTAGGGATAAGTCATGGGACATGGGGCTTCCCAGGTGGTACTAGAAGTAAAGAACCCACCTCCAATGCAGGGGATGTAAGAGACTCCGATTTGATCCCTGGGGTTGGGAAGATCCCCTGGAGGAGGGCATGGCAACCCACTCCAGTTTTCTTGTCTGGAGAATCCCATGGATAGAGGAGTCTGATGGGCTACAGTCCACAGGGTCACAAAGAGACAAAACTGAAGCGACTTCATGCATGCACACATACAGGAAAGATATATAAGATATGTGAAATATACAGACCCATAACATTTGAAGAAACTTGCCAACTTGTGAAGAAAAAAAAATAAAATAACAAGTAGCATACATTAGGGCCAGATACACCATTAACAATATATTCTAAACAGTGAGATCTCTGTGGGAAACATTCCCCAAGGATGGGCACTAGGCAAGGGATAGTATCAAAGTGGTGTGGTTAAAACACATCTGACATAGGATTCAAGAAAAATTAGCAAAAACTGAGTTCCTATTACAAGAAGCGTACCATCCAAGAGGCAAACAAGACACGGTGCATACCATCTAGGTACACAGATTTTTCTGACTTTGTACCTGCTATTCCTTCTGGGGACTCTCCGTACTGCTTGCCGACTCCCATGCTCACTCTCAGTAGGCAAACCTGTTAAAAGCTGACTGCATCATGCGCTCCTTTCATCACACCTGCAATTCTGCTACTTGTCCGTTACCTGACTAACATCTGCCTCACTCACTAGATTTGCACTGCCATGTGACTTTAACTGCGATCCTTGTCAGTGTTGGGTCACCAGTCAGCCGGGCATCTAGCACTGCACCTGCACGCATGCGTGCTAAGTCGCTTCAGTCGTGTCCAACTCTTTGCAACCCCATGGACCGTAGCCCTCTAGGCTCCTCTGTCCATGGGCTTCTCCAGGTAAGGACACTGGAGTGGGTTGCCATTCCTTTTCCAGGCGATCTTCCTGACCCAGAGATTGAACTGCGTCTCCTGCATTGGCAGGTGCATTCTTTACCACCAGTGCCACCTGGGAAGCCCACCCCCATGTGTGATGCTCAAAGCTGGAGAAGGAAGGATGGAAAGAAGAGGCAGACAGGTCTGTGCTTGCACCGAAAGACAAGCAGTACATAAGTAAGTGAGGCGAGACAGGAACCTCTGTAGGGAGGACAGCATGAAAAAAAGCATCACAATTAAGAAAGCAAAAGGTATATTGAAGGAATGGTTAATAAACCTAAGATATAATCAACAAGGACCTACTGTATAGCACAGGGAGCTGTACCTAATATTCTGAAGTAACCTACATGGAAAAAGAATCTGAAAAAGAATGACAAAAATATATATGTGTGTGTGTGTATAAATGAGCCACTTTGCTATACACTTGGAACTAGCACAACAGTGTAAATTAGCTGTACCCCAATATAAAATAAAAATTATACTATAAAAAACACCCTAGAACAGAGGGCTTTCTCGGTGAATAGGTTTAAAACACAAGATAATGGAAGGATTTAATATCAGGTTAAATAGTTTTCTATTTTTTTTCTACAGGCTTGGGAGCTATTGAAGATGTTTGAGAAAGGAAAGCATCTAATTAAAATACTGTTTATGAATAACAATCTGGCAGCGAATTGAGAACCAGGAGACACTAAACCAGTTAAGAGACTTGCAAAACCTTAGGGGAAAGGTAACTGCCACAGATCCTAGTGTAATACAAGTGTCAATACTGTTATTAAATTGAGCTAGTGAAGTCTGGACTAAGGTGCAGGATGCTGAGCACAAAAAGAATTAGAGACAGACTCAAAAGAAATTACAAAGCAGGACATATAAACAAGATCCAGACAAAAAAAGAAGGGAATTGAATTAAGGCACCAGCAGGAAGCAGATGCTTACACTCAAAGGGCTAACTGGACATGATTTAACGAAGAGATTATCTGCAAAGGTATGGGAAGGGTCAGGGCTGGTGAAGCACCCAGGGACTTGGAACAGTAGGAAGACTGTGTGTGTGCCTAAGTCGCTTCAGTCAAGTCCAACTCTTTTTGACCCTATGGACTGTACCCCGCCAGGATCCTCTGTCCATGCGATTCTCCAGGCAAGAATACTGGACTGGGTTGCCATGCCCTTCTCTAAGGAAGCCTTTCAGTTCAGTTCAGTTGCTCAGACGTGTCCGACTCTTTGCGACCCCATGAATCGCAGCATGCCAGGCCTCCCTGTCCATCAGAAACTCCTGGAGCTTACTCAAACTCATGTCCATCGAGTTGATGATACCATCCAGCCATCTCATCCTCTGTCGTCCCCGTCTCCTCCTGCCCCCAATCCCTCCCAGCAGCAGGGTCTTTTCCAATGAGTCAACTCTTCGCATGAGGTGGCCAAAGTATTGGAGTTTCAGCTTTATTTAGCATCAGTCCTTCCAATGAACACCCAGGACTGATCTCCTTTAGGATGGACTGGTTGGATCTCCTTGCAGTCCAAGGGACTCTCAAGAGTCTTCTCCAACACCACAGTTCAAAAGCATCAATTCTTCAGCACTCAGCTTTCTTCACAGTCCAACTCTCACATCCATACATGACCCCTGGAAAAACCATAGTCTTGACTAGATGGACCTTTCCTGGCAAAGTAATGTCTCTGCTTTTTAATATGCTGTCTAGGTTGGTCATAACTTTCCTTCCAAGGAGTAAGCGTCTTTTAATTTCATGGCTGCAATCACTAGTCCTAAATCTGAAGGGACTGTCATTGAAACCTGGTGAGAGCTGTAGCCAAGGGAGAGGGCTCTAATTTCAGCGGGAGCCTTGGCCTTAGGTAGAGGAGCTCATGCCACTGCCAAAGTTCTGCTAATGCCTGCCACTGGCCTATTCTAATGAGAAACCAGGGGGCAAGGGAAACTATGTGATGCTGAAAGAACAGGGAAGAATAGACAGAGAGTGGACCTAAAAAGCTAATGAGAGCATACAGAGCACAGTAACCAAGGCCAAGGTCCTCACTAAGGATGCTAGGGCTGAGGCATGCATGTGTGCGTGTTTTCCCTAGCCACTAGTTCTAAAAAACTGGAAACCGAGAGACAGACAATAAAAGGGAGAGCTAGGAAGGACTGTAATAGTTCAAGAGGTAATGAACAGTGGGGCATTTGAACAAATGGAGCTTTTCCAGGGAGAAGTGAGAAGACAAAACTCCTATGCCCAATGCAAAAAGCTCAATATGGGGTCCTTAGTGCCATGATACTTCTGTCTCACCCAGAAATAGTAATGCTGTCAAGAATTAGCCTTCCCTAACCTACTCCCTTCTTAAGTCCCACAAACACTATCTACATCTCGCTTTGATCCAAACTTAGTTTCTTCTGATTAGTTGTTTACTGTTTCCTAAATTCCCCAAATTTGGTGCCTTTTATGCGTTTACTAGGTTAAGCTCTATATGGACAAACTGGTTGAGGCCTTTCTGCCACACTATTTAAACCAACCCAACCAAAGGAACCCCTTTCTCCCTCTGGAGGATTAACTGAGTTAATCCTCAGACATCTACCTCCCATATCCTATACCTCCTGGGACCAACCCTCACTTATCTTTCACTGGCAGAGGAAAAGAATAACAGAGATAAATCACAGTGAAAGAAAATATCAGAAAGATTCAAACAAGAGATCAATAAAGGGAGGCAGAGGGGGAAATTAGATATCATAATTAACATTCTATTTGCAGGTTAGCCACACAGTAAGAATACTCTGGGCCATCTGCTTTTGAGTTCCAGCTCTGCCACTAGCTGACTATGTGACTGAGGAACATTACTTAACCTCCATAAGCCTTGATTTCTTCATTTGTGAATGTGGGACTATCTACCTCACATAGTTAAGTATTTAGCGTGACAATGGACATACTGCAAATAAGTTGTCAACAAAGTTGGCTATTAGAAATCATCATCATTATTTGAATGGTGCTATTGTATTTATGACTACTTAATTTCAAAAAAGAAAAAAGGCTAAAATTAATTATTGGGACTTCCCTGGTGGCTCAGTGGTAAAGAATCTGCCTACCAATGCAGAAGACACAGGTTCCATTCCTGATCTGGGAAGATCCCACAAATACTGAATGAAGTTCATGTGCCCTAGAGCCTGTGCTCTGCAAAAAGAGAAGCCATCACAATGAGAAGCCTGCGCAGTGCAACTAGAGAGTAGCCGCTGCTTCCACAACTAGAGAAAAGCTCACGCAGCAACGAAGACCCAGCACAGCCAAAAAAAAATTTTAAGTAACTATTAATATAAGCTATATAGTTATACTAAGGCACAGATAATGACAAAGGGATATCAGAATATGAATACAGGCTGTGTGAGATTAAGACAGCTCATCCAAAGAATAAATGTAAATTGTATGAGGGGTGAATGGAGGGTAATCCTGGGAGCTGTATGTTCGGACTAGATGGAGTCATCTATTTTCCTTATGCTAGTATAGAAGACTTCCCCTAGGAAGTAGGATCAATCTGTAAAGTCAAGAAAGTCAGCATTTACTGAACATGTACCATGTGCCTAAGACTGTAGTAAGTTATGAGTAATTTTTAAAAAGTAAGGATAAGATATAACCCCTAACCTCAAAAACCCTACAACCTCATTGAAAGGGTTATGAATACAATATAAAATAAATGATGAAATTCCAAAGTGCAGACTATAAGTTCAGTAAGTGACCACAGAAGGGCAAGAGATCATGGGTTAGAGTCCTTGGTGAGAAATTCATGGGAACAGGGTTTTGGAGTGGGATGGGTGAAGGGGGTAGAACTTGAAATAAAGGATATTTCAAAGAGAAAAGGACTGGGAGTTGGAAGCATCCCCAAAGATGCCACTCCAGAGGTTCTGGTATGGGTAACCTGGAAAATCAATTCAACGTGTACCGAATGCCTTAAGTCTGGTAATGTGGTATTTGCTGAGGTACAGAAAAGAACAAGATAATCTCTATTCTCAAAGAACTCAAAGCGACCTGACAGAAAACTAGGAAAATGAAACCAAAAAACAGCTATCACTGACAAATGCTATATTACTGGACAGCAGAGAGGAGCGGGAGCTTCTGTGTGAATGGTTTTCTAGAACTTAGAGCCCCTTGGCCTCTGCCCGTCTATCCTCACTTAGCGGAATGGCAATCTAAATCACACCGCCTGATGAAAAAGTGAGCTGAGAGCCAGGATATGCTTTCAGGAGTTAACACATGAGCCGAAGCTTGAAGGGTTAAGTACTGACTGGAGAGGAGACGGCAACGTTGACAGAAAGAACACCAAATACAATGACACTGAAGTATGAGGGCATGACATATTTTAGGAACCCTACGAAGCTTCCCGTCCTCCCTTCCCGTTCCTCCACCAAGCGTTGTCGGATAATATACAGGCTGACCAGTTCAATTCAAATTTAGATAAACAATAATTTCAAAACATATGTCCCAAATATTGCACACACTTGGGCCTCCTTTCAATTCATCCCAGTTCGGCTCTCTGGTAGCCCACAACCCGCCTCACTCCCGCCCCCCGGCCCCCGGTCCGCGAATTACCCTCGAGCAGGAGAGAGAAAGCGTGGGAAATCATCACAGGTTTATTTTTCCTTCACTCCTATTTTTTTCACTTTCGGGTCTCCCGCCCAGGCCAGAGGGACGTGGCTTGAAGTTCGCTCCGCTCTAGAAGTCAGTCTCTCCCAACTGAGGCGGGGGAAGTACACGGCCACCGACAAATAACACACCTCCAGCTCTGCAAAAAGTCCACCCAGAGCCAGCCGGCCCGGCAAAAGGAAGTCGCCTACTCCAAGGACCGGAAATCCCGCCTTCGCCGGAGAAGGAGCGGAAGCGAGACAGCCAATGCAGAAGAAGGTAGTTCTCCCGCAGGGGCCCCTGAGAACCCAGCCCCTGGTATGGGGCCGGAAGCAGGCCGGGGGCGGATCTTCCTGCCGGAAGTGGTCAAGCGGAAGTTGCTTTCGGTTGGCAGCCTAAGTGATAGATGTGCAGGCCATCTGAAGCGAGGAACCGAAGCGAGTATTAGACATTCCAAGGCAGTTTGAGAGCTGGAGACTGAGCTGCTGTGGTGCCGCCAGATCATGAGCCCGACCACACACTGGGGAGAGAAGTTCCTGAATCTGCGGGTGCCCCCCGCCGGGGTATTTGTTGTGGCTTTCCTTGCCCGAGTGGCCCTGGTTTTCTATGGGGTCTTCCAGGACCGGACCTTGCTAGTGAGGTATACAGACATCGACTACCAGGTCTTCACGGACGCCGCGCGTTTCGTCACGGAGGGGCGCTCCCCTTACCTCAGGGCGACATACCGATACACTCCCCTGTTGGGGTGGCTACTCACTCCCAACATCTATCTCAGTGAACTGTTCGGAAAGTTTCTCTTCATCAGCTTCGACCTCTTCACCGCATTCCTCCTATACCGGCTACTGCTTCTTAAGGGCCTGGGTCGCCGCCAGGCTTGCGGGTACTGTGTCTTTTGGCTTCTTAATCCCCTACCTATGGCGGTGTCCAGCCGAGGCAATGCGGACTCGATTGTCGCCTCCCTGGTGCTTATGACCCTGTACCTAATAGAAAAAAGACTGGTCGCGTGTGCCGCTGTATTCTATGGTTTCGCAGTGCACCTGAAGATGTATCCGGTGACCTATATCCTTCCCATTGCCCTCCACTTGCTTCCGGAACGCGACAGTGACGAAGGTTTCCCTCAATCCCGATATTCTTTCCAGGCTCGTTTGTACGAATTCCTGAAAAGGTTGTGTCATCGGGCTGTGCTGCTCTTCGTAGCAGTTGCTGGACTCACGTTTTTTGCCCTGAGCTTCGGTTTTTATTACAGATATGGTTGGGAATTTTTGGAGCACGCCTACCTTTATCACCTGACCAGGCGAGATATCCGACACAACTTCTCTCCATACTTCTACATGTTGTATTTGACCGCAGAGAGCAAGTGGAGTTTTTTCCTGGGAATTGCCGCATTCCTGCCGCAGTTCATTTTACTTTCAGCAGTGTCTTTCGCCTATTACAGAGACCTTGTCTTTTGTTGTTTTCTTCATACGTCAATTTTTGTGACATTTAACAAAGTCTGCACCTCCCAGTACTTTCTTTGGTACCTCTGCCTCCTGCCCCTTGTGATGCCACTAGTGAGAATACCTTGGAGAAGAGCTGTGGTTCTCCTGATGTTATGGTTCATCGGGCAGGCCTTATGGCTGGCTCCTGCTTATGTTCTTGAGTTTCAGGGAAAGAACACCTTTCTGTTTATCTGGTTAGCCGGTTTGTTCTTCCTCCTTATCAACTGTTCCATCCTCATTCAAATCATTTCCCATTACAAGGAGGAACCCCTGACAGACAGAACCAAATATGACTGATAATGCTCCAATCCTTCTGCGACTTGGATTCTGATTGTCCTGAATGGATCAGAGAGAACTTTGGAGAGATGTTTTTTTTGAACATCCTAAGCACTCTAGTGAAAGTCCAGTTTGGAGCATAAAACTATTCCAACAAATTTTAATGAATGTTTGCCTTACTTATAGAGGGGGCTCAATAATTGAGTTTCACCCTTTGGGAAATCTCAGGACTCATTCATCTGGGACATGATGGGAAGTAAAGATTACTTGTTTGAAAATGGAAGGGCTAATGAAATAATCAGATGCTAAAAGGTTTTTGTAGAAAGGATAGGGGGAATACAGTCAAGAGATGGAATCTAAGCCAGTATTTGTTACAGTTATATTGTGGTACTGCCTGTAACTGTCTTTTATCCCCCACTTTTTTGTTCTAAGGCTTTCCTGATAACTGGGAAAACTCAAAATGTTCCTAAAGTACAGCTTTTAGATATAAAGTGTTAAGTAATACTACTGAGGTTGGGAAAGTTAATTCTGTATTAAAGTGGGGGCTTAGAAGATAAAGAATCCAAAGAAAGTAAATTATAGTCATGTTTCATGTATTAGCTTTATAACTTAATTTTTCAGCACTTAATCCTAGTGGTATTAATTTACTGTTTGGTTTTATACAAAAAGGATTGAATTTAAGTTCATCCATCTTGGGACTTCCCTGGTAGTCCAGTGGTAAAGAATCCACGTTGCAATGCAGGGGACTTGGGTTTGATCCCTGGTCAAGGAACTGAGATCCCACATACCACGAAGCAGTTAAGCCTATGTGCCGCAACAAAAGAATGAAGATATCGCATGCTGCAAATAAGACCCAGTGCAGCCAAATGAATCTAAAAATAAATATTTTGAAAAGATAAATTCATTCATCTTTAAACTTCTCAACATTTTAAAATAGCATCTTGCTTTTGATGTTTGAGGTCACATACTGTTATGACATTTTAGAACTCTCTTTTGTCTCTTTGTTTTTAATTTTCTAATTACTAGAAAAGACTTTTGATACAGAGTATAAGTTAATCAAGTATTATCAGTATTGTTAAAATGATTAGAGATTTTAGGTGGTAAAAAAATAAATCATTAATAGGCATTTACCAGCTTAAAAATACCTCACTTATGAAAATTTCATGATAGAAATGAAGACGTGCATAGGAGGCTCCTAGAAAGTGTAAGAAGCATTCTAATAGCCATTAGTAGTTTAGACCAGGAAATTGAGGGAGAGATTGTGAAAATGGGCTTTAGTAGCCAGATGCATTTTCCTTATTACTCTTAATTTTCTAGGAAAAAATGCTTTGTGAGTTTCAAATAAGCAAGCTAAAAAAAAAAAAAACCCATCTAGTTTGGGGACACCCTAACACTAAATGTATTAGCAATGAGTGAGTTTGGTTTTATGATTTTGATAGTAAAAGATGAGTAATGTGACAACAGTGTTCTTTCACTAAAACCAAAAAACTGCAGAGGAAGTAGTGTATTTCATGTCAGTTCAGGCCTAAAAAAGTCTGAACATAAGATGTCTATAGACAGATCATAATTAAGAATGCTATTCCTGGCAGCACTTCTTAAATGGATACCTTTTACAACCCACCATTAAAAGGAAGGGGAGAGGACTTCTCTGGTGGTTCAGTGGATAAGACTCTGTGCTCCCAATGCAGGGGATCTGAGTTCAATGCCTGGCTGTGCCTAGATCCCACGTGCCGCAACTAAAGGTCCCATGTGCTAAAACTAAGACCTGGCAGAATGGAGCCAAATAAATATTAAAAAAAAAAAAAGAAGAAGGGGAGAATGGGTGACTTTACATGGGTTGCTGTTTGGAAGAAAGTAACAGAATTAATTGTTGAGGATAGAGCCCCTTGTAACATTTGGTCTCATATGCAACATTAACATTTGTATATGACTGTTCAATAGTGGCCTTCCAGCCACAGCAGTCTTACTTTTTTTTTTTTTTTCATCATTTTATAATAATAATTAAAAAAAATTTTTTTTCTGGTAGAACTGGGAGGGAAAGGGGACCAGAAATAGATTTTCAACATCTCAATATAATTGGTTTTTTGGTATTTTTAATAGTCACAAATGTATTTACTTATTCACTTCTTTTTTACTTTAACATTTTTTGTTGTGCCTTACTCTTCATACTTACATTGAAATGCCTAAATAATACTCTATCATATGAATGCTCACATTATAAATGCATCATAAGAGTAAACATTTTTCACATTTTAAATTACCTTAACATTCTTAGAAATCAGTGGGGTTCTGTTGGGATTTTGGAGGAAATTTCATCAGCAAATCCTGCCTTATAAGAAATTCTCTACCAAAGACCTACAGGCATTTCTTAGAAGATGCTGAAAGTGTTCTTTTGTGCTACAAGACATTTAGTACATTAACTCAAGAAAGGATCTTATTTGGTCTCTTGGGCTTTTAAATTTTTTTCATTTGTTTTTGTTTTTTGGTTTTGTAAAATTTCTCGTCTTCTTTTCATGTGAGTCCTTTGGTTTCTTTATTAATCCTATTATAACACTTTAAAATTGAATGGCACTTTGGCTTTTTTCCTATATGATACTTTTTGTTCTTATGCCACCCTTTAAGATCAATATATCCATATCTAGATAAACATTAATTATTAACATATGGAGGATGCTTCTCAAGATGGTCTGTGTTCTAAAAAGAGGGACTGCATGACTTATTTTCTTCTGTGGTTGCCTTAATGTCTTCAAAATGTTGTCCCTGAATATCCCAAGATAAAGTCCCTGAATTAGGTCCATTGGAAAGGACCTCTTTCTTATAAAACCATATTCTTTAGTTACTAACTTCTCACCACTTTGCTGAATGACTCTAAGTGACATAACATTGTTTCAAAAGCTTTGGAGAACTTGTCTTTTAGTTAGTTCACTTGTTGAATATATTACTTCTCCAGCTGTTTTCTGTTGTACCACCCTTACCTCAACCATCTGTGCAATGAGTAGAAATGGAAAAGATGGAAAATTTCACGTGGGACAGTCCTTAAATGCAATTTCTTGTTTGTCCCCCCACCCCATCCCCAGTGCTTTACCATGAAGAGTTCTAAACATTACCCATATGCCTACCATATCTTAAGTTAACAACTGACGTTTTGCCATGTTTGTTTTATTTACATACAATTTTTTCCTGAACCACACAAGGTTGAAAACATCATTGAACTTCACCACTAAGTACATCAGCATGCACTGAGTAAAAATACTCTTCCTATAAAACTATTATATTGTTATATAATTTTCCATCCTGTCCATTTTCAAATTTCTCCAATTATTTTGTGTTTAATTTTAAAGAATAGACATTCTTGGATCTCAAAGATTCCCTGAAAGAGATGATAAATAATCCATAATTAGGAAGTCTGGATCTTTCCCTGTTATCGAAAGCAAAGTGAGAACTAAGGGATATACCTTTTATCAAAGTCAACCAAACAATTTTGTGCAAATCTTTCTGTCTTCCTCCTAAGAAAATGCAGGGCAGTAATCATCCCTAATAAGTTTTGCAAATAAAAGATTACATGTTTAGATTTTTTGGCTGGGCCATGAGCCTTGAGGGATCTCAGTTCCCTGATCAGAGATGGCACCTGGATCACGACAGAGAAAGCCAGAATCCTAACCATTAGGCTGCCAGGGAATTCCCCCCGTGTAGATTCTTGACATCTGCTTCTCTCTTACAACAAGTGATTAACTAATTTTATATCTTGATGATAAGCTCTGGCTTTTCATGGCTAAATGATTCCGGGTACCTATTCTGCAATATATGGTTTCATTTAATTTTCACAGCAACACTTTAGAATTGATATTTGTACTTCCATCTTATAGATGAATGAAGAAGCTCAAAGATTAAATGGCTTACAAATAAATTACAGGGCTAGAGTTTGAAGCACATTTTGCCAGACTACATGTCATAACCTTTCCACTGTATTAGGCTTTGGAATTTTCCAGCATCCAGATGCAACAGGTGGAGATTCTGGCAAAATAAATGAAACTTGGCACTACTCTTAACAGTTGCCTTACCAATCAATTTGTCCTTACTCTTTTATGTATTTGTTTGAGGGGCAGTTCTCTTGCAGTTGGGCAAAAGTTTCTCCAACTTTAGTAATTCCAGACCTTTAGTAACCCCTTCCCACATCCAAACCCTCTCACCAAATTGTATAATTTCTTTGTTACTGCTGACTTTGTAATGTCCTTTCCCTCCATAGCCTGGTCTAACAAGTTGATTTGCTGAGCCACATGTTAGCCCTTGTATTTGTAAATCAATGATTTCCAAATGATTATTGTTAAATTTCTCTTGCTCTACAATGTACCTTCTGCAGGGTGCATTCATATGGTTAAAACTTGTGTCCTATACTAAAAGTATAGCAAAAGAAAATACAAATTCATATAGTTTAGGTTCAAATGCCAGTGTATAACCTTGGACAGATTTCTTCTATCTAGATAAGTTAGTTTTCCATCTGTGAATTGGGGATGATAATATAATCTTCATAGAATTGTTTGTAAGGATTAAATGAGTTAATATACCCAAAGTGCTTATGCCTGCCTAGGACAAGCTGTTCCCCATCACCTCCCCAGGTTTCACATCTGTTTACAAGCCTTTAAAGAAGGAACTCCTTTTGGAATCTAGACTTAAGTCTTTTTCTTCCAATTTACTAGAATATAGGAAAAGAACCTGGATTTGTATTAAATAATTGTTTTAACTACCTGTTAATATAAGCTTTATTCCTCCTAATTTTGATCTGGTTCTCTGAGAAGATAATAATTATATGTGAGAATGTATGCACAGGTTTTTCAGATTTCTGGTTCTGACCTGACAGTTTTGTATTTGTGCATTCGTGTCATACCTTGGCTGACACTTCACATTGGAGATTTGGCTTTAGCCTCTAAGTTACACAGCACTTCTTTTATCCTTTGTGTTGAGGGGTCATTCAAGGGTTGGCATTATGTTGATGGAAGCACATGTCCTCTGTCTAGATGAGA